GCAGGCACTCTACCACTTGGGCCATGCCTCAGCCCCTTTTGCTTTAGGATTTTTTGAATAGAGTCTTGCTTGTATGCCTTGGCTTGCCTGGACCTTTATCCTCTTATTTATGCTTCCTGCGTAGCTGGAATGAGAGGCAGCACCACCACCACTCTCAGCTTTTATTTGTTGAGATGAAGCTAATTTAAAGCTTCATTTCTAACTCCCCCTCCCCCCAACAAATCCTGCATGTATGCACAGACTGCATGCAACCCTGACCCCACACAGCACCACCACATTCCCTGCCAGGCTGCCCTGCCCTCCCCTCTTGCCTCTGTCTAAGTTTCTTCAGAAGTCTTTGCCATGAAAGTGTCTATCTCATTTCTGGGTTTTTGGCTTTGTGGCTGCTGTTTTGGTACTGTCTGCCCCTTTGTTGTGTTTTTCATTGCTCACCTATGTGTTCCTATTACTGTGGTATGTTTGTCTGATTTATGTCTCCATTCACTCAAGAACTATTATTTGTTCACACACTCAGGCCAGATACCAGGCTACAGAGCTAACAAAATGGGACTTGTAAGTTAGTACAAAAAAAAACCCAAAATGAGATTAATAGTCTTACCAGGCTGGGAGCTGGAGGAGGGTAATGGCAGGGACTAAGTAAGGCAGTACACACAAACATTATTACCATCCCTCCTGTGTGGGCCCCCTGCACAGTTCCTTTCCTTTAATGGTTGCTCCCTGAATATCTTTTTGAGTCGGATTGAATGAAGAAAGAAGACTTCAGAGAGCAAACAGGACAAGGGGATAGGATGCTGGGGTGGAGAGCGGAGACTGGAAAAGGCTGTCTCTCTGAAGGTATGAACTGGCTGGCAGAGTGTGGTGCTGGTGATCCAGTACCACCAGCCTCCTGACAGGTCTGCCCCCAGAGGCCTGAGTAGCCAGTTCTACCCAGCTCCTTGGAAGCAAGGACTCAGTGGGGAGGTAGGTCCTTGGCAGAGAGCTGTTACTGAACCCCAAGAATTGAAGTTTCCCTAATTTAAAATAGAAAGGGAGAAGGGCCTGTATTTGCCTTTGCTGTTATTGGTAGTGGCAGGCTGGAAGGAACGTGTGCAGTTTCAAGGTAAGTTTCCCCTGTATTTCTCAGATATTCAGTTGGCCAATTTAAGGAAAAGGTCCTATTGGAAAGTTACTTCCATTGCTTTTGGGAAGCCAGGGGATTAAGTATCATTTTTACAGCAACATGCCTTGCTTGGTTTCAGTTGGAGTATTTTGAAACTCTGAAGTGTGAATTGGAACATGCCCTTTAGCTTAGCTCCTGGCTCTGCCAGGTGTACCTTTGGCTAGGTGTTTTCCCACATAACAGGCTGTCACTCACCAATGAGGATGATGGGAAAAACAGAGCTCCCGTGTACATTCTTTGATTCCAAATTGTTCAAAGATGGCATATTCTGGTTACTTAAGTAGGAATCAGTTCACCTACTACATACTCCTACCTAGTATACCCTTTACCACTGGCAATATGGCCCCATCCTTTGTGGCCTTGGAACCACAAAGGTCATGTACTTGTTTAACAGGTATGCTAAATGGTGCAATGTGCCAGGCAGCACTGGGCTAATAATAAGACAGGGCTTCCAACCCTAAAGAACTGTGTGGGAGGAGAACATAGCCAGTGTTCCCTGAAAGGCCCTATACCTAAAACGAGTACTCCTCCTTTACAAAGACGTCTAACAAGATTTCCTTTCATTAGCTTTTCTACCTCAATTAGCCGTAGTAAACAGAGAGTATGCTGGGGGGACTGTAACTATAGACGCAGAAATGACAGTAGCCAGTAACACAGAAGAAAGACAAAACCCACACAAAAGAGAGGGTTTGGGGCATGCCTTAAATGGTGGGAGGGCATGCCTATCAAGCTGAAAGCTCTGAGTTCAAACCCCAGCACTGTGGGGAAATGGAGCAGTGGTGGGGAAGGAACCACACAGAAAAGATGCCAGAATTACAACGACCTGAACAGGTCAGTTGGTATGAGGCTGAGACCCAGTGAATATCTGCAGCCCCTGAGGACATCATTACCTAGCACACCCTAATAATTGGTGTTTCTGGAAACGCCTGTAAATCATTCTGGAAGAAATGGGTGGAAGTTGTACTGAACACAGGAACAGCAGTGATACCTACCTTTCTTCCTTTCTTTTCTGTTTCTCTTTTTAAATGTGATCGTATTTTTAAAGATTTCCACTGTAACCATCCAAATAGTTAGATGTATTTCTGCTTAGAACACACCCAGTTACCTGAGAAATTTACTTACATGGAAGGGCAAAACCTTTACATAAACTATAACTCTAACATAGTCAAGTCATTGCTATATATACAACCAAGAATGAGCAGTTGTTGAAGGGTAGAATGTAGCCAACTACTCTGAATATACTGTGAGCATAATTTAATCACTAGAAAGATTTAAAGGAGAATTACTCTAAAATGTATTTCTAGTGATCATCCATTTATGAAAAACACATCATAAAGTACAGTTTGATAGAGGACACACCTTGGGGGAAGATGGCCCTCAGGCTTCAGGTGACAGGAGACTATGCTGCCACAGCTGTGGCTAGGATGAGGTGGCCATCACTGTCACCTAAGTTGCCCTGCAGTGAAGGCAGGCATCATAATGGGTCTTTTACTTATTTAGTGAGCAGAAGCTTCTCAAAACTAGAGACCTGCCAACTTTTCTGTAAAGACAGAGAGTATAATCTTGAAGGTTATGGTGCAAAAGCAGCCAGGGTCTTCTGTCACTGAATGGTCTGTGTGAGCCAATAATACTTTACTGGTTTTGAGCTTAATAGAACTGTGGGACATAGACAGTGAACACACAAATCTATATGGTAGCCAGAAAGACAGAAAAAATGTCTGCATCTGGAGGTCATCAGAATGTTGAGCTTCTGTCAGCTTTTGAATCATTGTGGAATAGCAATTTGTTTGGGCTTGGTTTTGGTTGAATGGAATTTAGGGTTTTTGAATTTACTAGGTATAGGTTGGGTCCCAGACATTCCCGGTCTATGTTCTACTGTCCTGTTTGATGCTACAGAAGGTGGTCCCATATCCTTCAATGCCTTTAGCTTGTCACTGGCAACACTAGATTGTCACCCTCCTCTGGAGTTCACAAGGTTGTTCTGGTAGAAAATTCTGGTTGATGGACAATCAGGAACCACTATTTTATTATACCTGAGATAGGTATTCTGTGTCTGTCATGACACTGTGTACCTAACATGTGATAGTCACTCTGTGTTTGTTAAGTCAAGTTCCAAATACATGGTACACATTTAACTGCTTTCACTCATTGGTTTTCAGCTACCTTTGGGGATGGGGCCAGTCTTATTTTTTATTGTTTGTCTGTGCAACTTTTGACTCTAGAATGTCTGTCATTTTGAGTAATTGTTACAGTACTGCCCCCTCAGCTTTTGGGAGTTGTCCTTAACTTTCATGATTGTTCTGTATTCAATCCAGATGATTTTGTAGGGGGTGAAGGCACTGGAGGAAGAAGATAATAATGGTCAAGATAGGCCAACCCAGCCATTGAAAGCCTCCTCTTGCCCTCCTGAGCTCAGTCTTCAGGAAAGCACACATAACCAGTGCTATTTTGAGTGATTTCCTTTGTAGTGACTTGAGTGACTGAGTTGTCACTTTTCTGCTCCATAGCCTGTGCTACAGGTGGCTTTTCCATGGCACTTGCAGCTGGTGGTAAACTAGAGCCACCACAGTTTCTAATGGAGAACCTGGTTGGTGATGCAAGAAGCCAAAGAGGTTAAGATAAGTAGAGGAGGGGAATCTGCTTTCTGTGTCTTGGAGCATGTTCTGAGGACAGGTAGACTTAAGTCAGTGCTTCTTAGTTATTTCCATACTGTCTCCAGAGACTGGAGTTGCAGCTGTTAAGAAAGACTGCCTGCTCAGCACTTTTTTCTAAAGAAATGATGTCTTTCCTAGACAACATGCATGCACACACTGCCTGTGAGCTGTGAGGTGTTCTGATGTCAGTCACTCATCACAAACACTTCCACAACTCCATCAGCTCTTACCCCAACCATCGTGGGAGAAGGTGACCTTCCCACTATGGAATTCCAGGACAATGGAATGTAGGTATTTTCACAGTGAGGAATCACAAAGCTCTACAGCCAGCTGGTAAAAAACACATTAGAGCTCAGTGTCCAACATTTTCCATACTTTGCCTCATCCCCTGCAGGGTGAGCAGTACTCTGAGAGTCTCTTGGCCCTGGAAAATAAAACATTTGGCCAACTGGCTAAAAAAAAAAAACTTGGCTGTTTCAAGAACTTTCTGCATCCTAGCCACTGTTTTTTGGGGTTTCTTTTGGCTGTTACAGGGCTTGAACTTGGGACTTCATGCTTGCTAGGCAGCACTGTACCTCTTGAGCTACACCTCCAACTCATAACTGTCTGTTTATCTTTATTGCTGCCAATGCAGTACAGCAAGGTAGAATGTCTCAGTGGTTGTGGCCTAGGACTTGTCCTAGCTGACTAGCCCCCCATGAGCCCCAGTTAGCTTCAGCTCCACTCTGGGATTTCATTGTCATGAGGCAGTGGGTACCTGTAAAAGAAAGCTTTTCCCCAGCATTTGCTGCCCCTCCAACTCCCACACCCTTGACTTTTCTGTCAAAATTTGAACTGATCCATTGAAGGACTGTCTCCGCAGATACCCTAATATCTGAGGAGAACTGGGTTCTAGTCTTACCTCCAGCTGCTCTGTTCCAGCTGACTTTGGGCAAGGCATTGCCCTTTGGAGGCTCCCTTTTCCTTCATTTTCTGTCTCGTAAAGGTTTGGAGTAAGGAGATCTTGCTTCATGAAGGCAAAGTGACTTGCGGTGGAAGGGGACACACCACTCACATCTTAAGTAAAAAAGCAGCATTTCTACTGGAGGTTTGCACATAAATATGTGTGGCTCACGTCGGAAAGGTCATTTTGTCCAGTCTCCTAATGCTAAGACAACATCTAGTTTCTGGGTTTTTGCCTCTTTCAGATGCCAGTATGGACAGAATAATTTATGATGCTTATCCCCACCCACCACTTCCGAGACATTGAGCGGAAACCAGAATACCTTCAGCCGGAGAAGTGTGTCCCACCTCCCTACCCTGGTCCTGCGGGAACCATGTGGTTTATCCGTGACGGCTGTGGCATCGCCTGTGCCATTGTGACCTGGTTTCTGGTCCTCTATGCGGAGTTTGTGGTCCTCTTTGTCATGCTGATTCCATCTCGAGACTACGTGTACAGCGTCATCAACGGAACTGTGTTCAACCTGCTGGCCTTCTTGGCCTTGGCGTCCCACTGCCGGGCCATGCTGACGGACCCCGTGAGTATGTCTGGGCTTGTTTTGACTAGCCCACACTCTCCTCATCTGGCCCCAGCATGGCCACAGCCTGCATGCTCCCCCCTACCCACCGGGACCTTGGGAATATGGAGAACAGTGGGCCCCCTTTGTTAGAATTCTGTGGGGCTCTTGTCAGGGAAGAGGGGCCACATCTACTACAGTTTATCTGTCTTGGCTGAATGGTACAGTATGCACATTGCCGTATACATTAGTTGAGCCTCCTGTGGGAGGAGTTTGGTCTGGGGGGAACCTGGCCTCTGATTGGAAAGGTGCAGCCAGATAACCATAGGGTTGGAGCAGAAAGCATGCTCGGGGTTGAAGGTGAAAGATGGTGAAGATAGGACTGGAGCTAGTGAGCTTGACATGAAAGCCACATCCAAGAACCCCTGCTCCCTCTTTTCCTGAAAAACTGGGTGAGCCAGTTTCAAGCAAGTGCCTGTTGGTGAATGTCTGGGTAAAGCGGTGACAATCTGCTCAGGGACTTAGCTAAATATACCAACTTATGCAAGTGACTGTTAAACATCTTTGCACCCTAGAATTAAACCCTCTTTCCTGTTCATTATCTTGTATGGAAAATCCAGAGAGTGCATTATTTGATAAAGACCTCCTGTGGCTTAATTGTTTCAGTGCTGGGTATATGTGTTTAAATTAGGAAAGAGAAAGCTCTGGTAACAGCAGAGGCTCTGACCACACAAATTTTGTTTCTGTGAGCCCCGGAAAGCACAATAAAGATGATGGGGTCCTGAGCTAGTTCCCTTCTCCAATAGCTCTATTTCCTGTTGGTTCAGGTGGTGGGTTGTTACTCTGTGCTGGGGGAAGGCAGCTTTCCTCGCTAGTTACATGTCAGTGACTGGTCCAGACAGCCCTCCTCTATGAATGTACCTGGGGAGATGGCTGCTTATGGGTCACTGAGCCATCATCACCTAAAGGAAGTGATGTAAAGGCACTCAAAGTCCCCCCAAAAACAAGGGCATGAGAGAGTTTTCCCAGCAGTATCAGCTTGGTCATATAGAAAACAAGTTAAGGATTGATTCAGAAAGTTTTATGATGCCCTTGCTATGGGGAAATGGGAATAAATGACATTATTTTGCTTATCTGATGGTTTAGTGCCTACTGAGCCCCCAGCACTGTTCATTCCTCAAAGTGCCCTTTGTCTAGGGAAGGCACGTGAGGATAGTCCCATGTGATGTAGGGTATGGCAGAAGGTAGAATGGTTTTTGGTGGAAAAACAAGGGAGGGGATATTAGCCAATCTAGGTAGAGGTGACTGTGAAGTAGGTGATACCTGAGTTAGTTCTCGCCAGAGTGATAGTTCTTGGCAGAGGAGATGGAGGGTGGTAGGATAGGACACAGGGGACATTCCAGGCAGAGGGAGCAGAATGTGCAAGGACATAGGCATACAGGAGTGTGGCTCCTCTAGGCAGCCAGGAGTTGTTGGGAAATGTGGGACTTGAGGAGGAAAATGGATTTGGGTTGATAGTGTGGATGGATGCTAAAAAAGGAGGGTAGGAGTTGGGTGATGAGGGGTAATCTAGAGCCCCTGAGGATTGTCACAAAAGAGTGACTAGTACAAGGACTCTCATCTGTAATTCTAGCTACTTGGAAGGTAGAAATCAGGAGGATCGCAGGCCTAGGCCAGTTGGACAAAGACCACATTGCAACAAAATAAGCCTGGTATGGCAGTACACACTTACAATCCTAGCTACACAGGAGGCATAGGTATGAAGATCACAATCTAAGGCCAGCCCAAGCAAAAAGCAAGAGACTGTATCTGGAAAAATAAGTTCAAACCTCAGTACTGTCCCTCCATCTCCCCCCGCACCAAAAAAAAAGAGCAACAAGTTCAAGTTGTCATGTTACAAGGATTGTTGTGGTAGTAGTACAGAGGAGCCCTGCAGGGACTGATGGATGGAATGAAATTAATGGCTGTGCTTATCAAGTGCCTGCTCTATGAGAGGTTCCTTCCTGAACAGTGGGTACAGTTGAGAGCAAGATAGACAAAACTCCTGGTCCTTTTGAAGCTCACATTCTATTGGAGGGCCGGGCTCCAATTGAAGCTCACATTCTATTGAGACTGAATGATGTGATTTCAGAAAGTGGTAAGTGCTGTAAAGATAGGAAAACAATATGACTGGGATGATGTGGTGACCTTAAAGGAGGCTTCTTTAGATCAAGGTAACCCCAGAAGGCCTCTCCGTGGTGATGCTGTTTGAATGACCTGAGTGACATGAAGCTGCAAGCCCAGGAAATGAAGACCTGCAGTCAAATCTTTCCAGGCAGAGTAGAGCGTATAGGTACAAGGCCCAAAAACAGGAGCCGGCATGGCATGTTCAAGAATCGGAACGAAAGCCAGTGTGACTGAAACATGAGTGGGGCAAGAGGGGCTAGAAGAGGTGGAAAGGGCTGCAGAGGCTGGGTTGTACAGGGCCCTGGAGGCCTCCTGAGACCCTTGGTCTCTATTCTAAGTGATCAGGCATTGAACTTGCACTGGAGGTTCAAGCTGGAACAAACAGAAGCAGGGGACTCAGGGTATTGTAATGTCTAGATAAGGCATGGCAGTAACTCATAGCAAGGTGGTAACAGTGAAACTAGAAAGAAGCTGTTGGTTTGGTGCATATTTTAATCCACTAGTTCTCAAGCCTGGCTGCACCAGAGAATCCCTTGGAGAGCTTTTAAACAGTACTGATGTCTGGTCCCTACCCGCAGAGATTCAACTAATCCAGGCTGGGACACTTGAAAGCTCCCATGTGTCACTCATGATCAGCCACACTGAGTACTATTGAAAAGAGCTGATAAATGGGGATTGATCACAGAGCATGCCTTCCATGTCTCAGTGGGAGCCAATTTAAGAGGAAAAATCAAGGCTTTTCTGTGGCCAAACTGCCCCTACATTATAGGCAGAGATGCCATGCCAAGTGAGCGGCAGATTGTGAGTCTGGATCTGGTGGAGGAGCAGGAAGTGGAGTGTAAAAGGTCATTGCTTTATAGGAGGCATGTGAGACCAGGAAGCTGAATGCTGGGCAGTGGGAAAGGAACCTTCTTCCCTGTCATCCTGCTGCCCGTTCTTTTTCATACCACGTGGAAGCATGTACCCTTTCCAGGGACCACCTTAGGCTGGCCCTCACAGTTGAATGCAGAAGAACATGATTTTACCATGCTATGTTGCACAGTAGGCTTCTAGTCCCAAGTGGGTGAGTGCCACAGACGATAGCCCAAGCTCCTCATACATAAGCTTCTAGCCCCAAAGAAAACTAGGCCAAAAATGAAGAATCTGGCAAGCATCTACCAGATGTTTGGAAGCACTTGAGAGCAATGTCCTGCAGATGAGCCCCATCTCAGGATGTTGACACCTGTTTCCCCACCTCTAGCACATGGTATCTTATGCAAAACCCAGTATGTAAAACAGAGAGCAACAGAGCTGCAGAGGTGGGAGTCTGGGGCTACCTTGGGTTTCCCAGAAGCAGAGTTGGGAACCCAGATCTCACATCCGTTAGGAGCTCCTCATTAATGCAGCAAGGAGAACGTTTTTAGAAAGGAGGCTCTAAGGAGCTCCCTAATGGAATTATAATGTTTTATATTGCAAGAATTCTAGCTGGAGGCTGGTGGAATGACTCATGGGTAAAGTGCCTGCCTAGCAAGTGTGAAACCCTGAGTTCAAACTCCAGTACCAAAAAAAAATTCTAGCCAGGCATGGTGGCTCACACCTATAATCTCAACCACAGTTTCTGTACCACTTCCAGCTTTGGGATTTTTTTTCAAATGTAACATTAGAGCAGTTGTAACCACCAACTTTCTGGATCATTTAGCAGTCATTTATTCCAATGCAGCAGTAGTTGGGTCTGCACAGCTTGAACACATCAGGAAAGAGAGAAATGACTCACCAATGTGTAAGCGGGCTCTTTGGAGGAGATCCTGCCACTTGAGAAACGGGGCAGGGACAGATCTGTCAACAGAGGGAAGAGGACAGGAGGACAAAGGGGCCTCACTTGGCAACTGGGCTGGCCTAAAGGCACATGGGTGTGAGTGGTATGGAATCAGGTGTTTGATCTCTTGATGTCCTTGTCCCTTGCCCACTCTGAGGTTGTGCAACATCCCATAAGAACTCTCTATGTTCCATAAACCCAGTACATATTTAGAGGTCTAGAGTGGCCCTGAGGAGTTACCTCTTAAAGACAGGTTGAACTCTATCTTGGGGCCCTCGCTCCTTCTTCCTTCCCATTTTCTCTATCTTTTCTTTTCCAGTTCCAAATACATTCTAAATCTGCATCCTGTGAACTCTGTCAGGGATCCTTAAAAAGTGAGATCTGGGACAGTATCTGTTTCCCAGAAGATGCTTAAAGCTAAGAGACTCAGCTCACTACTTATGGTCCCAGCTGCCAGGAAGCTCAGAGCCAAGCCTTGCACAATCAGCAATTTCATAAGCTCTTCTAAACAGCTTATTTTTGCCTCTCCATTCCTTGGACCTAATCATTTATTAATCTCATAAATGATTTCAAATATGAGATTTGAGAAAAGGTGGAATATAAATATCCATTCCATTTAAGCACATTGTTAAGGAAAAGAGAGCTCATCTGTCTGCCTGCCCCTGCCTCCTTTTAAGTCTTACCCTGTGAGCATATCACTATAAACCAGCCTCCATGACCACAGACCACTGTAGACCACTGCTTTTAGCTTCAACTGCCAAAAGTCATCAGTGGGAATTTGGAGGCCACTTCAGATGTGGAGTTGGTGCTCCCTTGGGTGTCTCTTTTGGCAACCTTGTTTAATAAGTGTGCAGTTCCCAAAGCCAGTTGGCAGGTCTTTCCTCAGAAGGGTAGTGTGGCAACATGATGTGGGCTATGGAAACTCATGGGAGTAGCAACGTGGGCCTTCCTGCAGCAGGCCAGATGTTGGGTGTAGCCAGAGAAGGACCTGGCCCATCTCGCTGAGAAGTACTAGCATGTTCCCTGGGCCTGGTCAGGGAATTTGCCTCAGGGTCTGTTT